GGGTTTATGTAGCACGTAGTAGCTTGTAGCGCGGAGCTGCTTTGCTTATTCCATAGCCCGCCACTCTTTACGTAATTCGTAGCACGCCGGTAGGCCGTATGGATTTTATGTAACTCGTAGCATTTGCCAGACCCTTCCGCCCTGCCCCGGCGTGTGTACACGCCGGGGGCACGTGGGCGGTAACTACGGCACAAGAACAAGGTGAAGGTAATTTCGATCTCCACTAGAGTCTTCATCTTCTACAACAGTGATAGTTGCAATTATGATATAGTCTTCGTGGATGTGCCTGTAGTTCTAGTTGTCGAAGTAAAAATAGTGTCATTCCACTAGAACCATTTAATAAACTCATCTTCTTCACCAGAAAGATCTTCAAGTACTTCAAGGGCTGCATCTTGTAGTCTCGCCAGTGGTAAAAGTCGAGAACCAGCACCAGAGAGGTGCTGATTTTTATGATGATGATCAAACAAATTATATTTCGTCTTCAAGTTCTAAAGTGAAGTGGAAGTAGACGACCGCAGCAACAGCCGAGAGCACGTCGAGCCAGTGAAATCGAGATGAAGGCACACGCAGTACGAAGAGTTCTTCAAGAGTTGATCGACATGCCTCTTGCTTCAAATTAAGGCTTCTTCTTGTTGATATAATGAGCAGAATAGCAAAGAACGAATACCTTTACCTTTACCTCATGCTTGAAGGGGAGGAAGAAGCTCATTTCCCTCCTTAGTTTTTGTGGCACTTCTTATCCTTATGATCTCATTCTCACGCTTACCACGTCACTTCTACAACATTCACACGCGTTGGTTCTTTTTCTTAGGCTTAGTTTCCTTGGCTCAGGACCATCTGAGGAAATGAGCCACTGAATGGTTCTGGTATTTGGTAGCCTGATTTTGATCATAAGGAAAAAAAGAAGAGAATCTTTGCGATCAAATTCAGAGCACCAAATACCAGAACCATACAGCTACGGAATAAGAAAGGAAACAGATCATGTTTGGAGCTACGTGCCGAACATCTACGACGCCCTTAAGGCAGTCAGTCTGCGTTGAGCGTTGTGCGAGATTTATTGCATTATTTTCCTCTAATGTAAGCGTAAGGACTTCGATCCCGTGGTTGGGACTGTGGGGGAATGTGTCATCTGTCTCGCAGAGACCACTACTCGGGCCAACCAGATTCTAGCCAACACGTATTTTGCAAACTGCGCGCACGGGGGAACTATGTGCCGGAAGTGTATGTATTTATGATGATGCCACCGATTCTTGAGACAAGAAGTAGAAGAGTATGGATCACGATGTTTTTTCCATCCTTGTCACGACCGACGTTGAGGCAGCAGCTGCCCCTTGTTCTACCCTTGCAAATGTATAGGTAGAAGGAGGGCCCCGACGGTTTGGCTAGATGGAAAGAACGCCATTCATAGAAGGAAAGGGAATGTCGTTCCACCTAAGTAAGTAAGAAGGGCCTAAATGAGGGAAACGACATTCCCGCGCTCGGACAATCTCAATCAGTAGCATCGTTCACTACAAACCTCCATCGATAACCCCGGCATGAAAAAGTGCCCAGTCTGCCGCAAAGGTCTCAACCGTGATGCTGCAAAGGAAGCTGTGCAAAGGCAAACCCCTGACGGAGGGAGCACTCAACCGACGAGTGCCATGCCCGGGGCCTTTGGGTTTGGTGGAGATGGGCTACGATTGAGACCTCACGCTGCGCGTCAAGGATACGGATCTCCAAATGTAATCCCATAGGCCATAGGCCACTACCGCATAAGAAACGCAGAGTCATCTGGGGCAACATTTAGTGATGGCGTCTGGTGCAAAATTAAGTTTAAGTGATGACATCTGATAATGCACGTGGTGCATCAATCATAGTGTTGTCGTCCTCTGGTGGAGAGGGATGTATGAACTGTAATCTGGAAGACTACTTGTGTGCCTCTGTCCATTCATAGTTAGTTTTCCACTACATTCATCTCATCCATTCCACCACCGTATCTTGTCGCCTTCCTCTAAAAAGAGAAAACACTTTCCTAGACTTGAGACTATACAACTGGCAATAGGTGGTATAGGAGCATGGTCTTAATTTGGAATGAACTTAACGCATGTCGATGCTGAGTATGACTGAAATATACTTCTTGTAGTTCTTCTTCATACAGTATCATTTTCTCTTACGACCTTGTTGTATATGTATCTATTTGTAAATGTACAAGAACAACAAGGTCCCGCGTGGACGACGTCGACAATTATAATTAAGTTTAGTATCAAGACTTCAAGTTCAGACTTCGTCTTGTGGCTGGTTCGGTATGACCACTTGAGAGTTGAGTACTGTAGACCAGGTCTGTACTGCTGTGCAATGAAGAGTAAAAGCAAAAGCAACTACTCATCAAGGAACTTTCCTGTTGGTCCTCATCTAGTATTCTCTCGCCCGTTTGCATGTCACAAGCATAACTATGTATGTTGTAACTAAGAAACATGCAAGAACTAATTGATACTTGAAATTGAAAGCGGGAATGAGAAAGACGACTAGTCGGTGGACTAAACAAGTTAGCGCCACTTATTTACGCTTCAAAATTAATGACTCTTCTTGTTAGAAGAGTTACTGCTGATGCACCCAGGAAATACTTCTTGGAGCAGTAGGAAACGAAATGGTCGTGATAACTGTTTTTTCACTCTGAAACATGGGAAAAAAGTTTTCATAACCGGCTAAGAATTGAACTTGAAGTAGTTTAGAATTTAAATTTATTGAGATCTCGGAGTCGTGGATTTATTCTAAATTTATTTCACAACAGGAACGCATACGTATAGAGGGCGGCGGGCCCACAAGGAGGTGACTTTTGTTGTCTCCTACAGAGGAGAAGATACACATACAGCCGACTGATGGTTTTGGGTGTTGTAAACAGTCTATCAGGTAGGTACCCTATAGGTGGTCATGTAGAAATCACGACAGGGGAATACACATGACATGACATGACCCATGACCACTCGACGGCACAACCAACATCACGGACTCAGTCAAACAATGAGTCAATGAATCAACCAATCACGATTTCCACTAGCGGCTTCGTAAGTTTCCTCCTGAGGTGTTCTTGAAGTATGTGGCAGGTGGAGAAGTTTAACACAGCCGTCTCTGTGAGATACTTCTCACGACTTCAAGTAGTTGTACATCAATACTGGCTGCATCCCCCAAGAGTGAAAGACGTCGTGACAACTCATTTTTCGAAAAAAATGTACTGGAATACCCCAAACGGGAGACTGGGCACATTCATTCACGCATACTAGTAGTAGGACTAACTTCTTTGTGTTTGTCGTGTTGTAGTACTTGTACTACATCAACCTCCTGTTCGTACTACATCAGCCTACATCAGCCTCATGGGAACCCGATTCGTCCCAGCCGGTGCGGCCTCGCCGCGGTGTGGTGGACCCCCAACCTTAACCTTAGCCTTACATCAACCTCCTGCTCTACCAAGGACAGCACGTCGGACCTGTCATGGCAACATGAAAATGCATGGGAGCCAGTCAACATAATCTCCACCAAACAGCTGGAAGGAGAAAACAAGAAGGAAAACGGGGGGTTGCTCGGATGAAGGATGCTGGGAAGTAAGGAGCCTCCACCAGATGATTGCCGGACTGCATTTTCTAGTCCTCTAAATCCTTTATAATTATAGGAACCCTGATACTTGCTTCGCGATATGGAGGTTATAATTCTTCTTTTTATAATGCTGGGTCGACGTTTGGGTGGTCGCATAGTAGTTGTGGCTGAGGTCTCTGTCTTTTGGTAATCGAATATCATGAGTCAGTCCACCAGCTTGTTGTTATGAATGTGCAGCTAGCTGTGGGAGTCGACCTCGAAGTCGGCTGCCATTTGGTCTCTACGGTGGTCACGAGTGGCCATGTCAGGGAAACACACATGAACAGGAGATGAGAGCAGGACAAAAGGCTTCCATCCTCATCAATTGAAAGACTGATGACATGGAATGAAAAAAAATGTTGCATTTATTTTGAAGAAAAGTGCAATGAATATAATTACATCTTGTGAAGTCGCCAGTGGTAGAGAATGACCACCAGAGACGCACGCTGCTGAAAAGTGCAAAGAAAGGCCTGCCAACATGAATTTATTTTGAGGCTTCTATGACCTAATTAAAGAAGAAGAAAAAGAAATAGAAGACTCGCCTAATTAGACTACCATACGACCTTCTTAATGGCGGGTATTAAACCATACCCCACGAATGGGCACACTACTACTACTACTACGAATACTACTACTCGGCACCCACATGAATAAGAAAACTCTAGAGGTGTTTAGCACTTTAAAAGCCCGAGGCTCCAACTCTCCGAGGGGGCTGCCGTACTAGTAGCCCGACGGGTTTCCCTCTGAATCCTGAACCCTGAATCGAGAGCCGGCTCTCCTTGGTGTCCCTTCTATATGGGAGGGACTTGATTAGTCATCTGAATCCTGAACCTTGAATCGAGAACGGGCTCTCCCCTGGTGTCCCTTCTATATGGGAGGGACTTGA